TAGAGCAAACTTTTATCAACAGCTGCCACCTTAACTGGCTGGTTCCATATTGAAGATCAAATGGCCAACCGGCTGACGGGCCAGAAAGAATTAGCAACAAAAAACTCTGGGTGGGAACAAACCAACCAAGATTCGATTTTTCAACAAATATGTAGGCAAAAGTGGAGATGGATGGACCGGGCATACGTTGAGGAGACCGTCGAATGACATCACGCTCACTGCAGGCAACCGCTCGAGTAGAATCCAAATGGGAGGCTATGAGTTGGTCGTCAGTGAGAGGGTGACATGGAGGAGGTTGTCTGGTGTGGGAAAGATGAGAGATTATGGTCAACAGTGGACCCAACTGAAGAGGACAGCATGGAATCAAAGAAAGTAAAGATTTGTTGTTTAATTCCTATATTCCACTCAAAACCCAAGGGAATAATAATAATGGTTGGAGACTACAGGTGGTTTTATTTCTCAGGCAGTGGTAGTTTGTACTAATTGTCTCACGGAAAGTGATCTCATCTACTGAGATATGTTGCCACCCAGAAGTTTGCTTTTTCTCAAGTTTATTAGAGACTTGCGAATTAGCAGGTTGTAGACAATTTAAATGCTTATGAGCGTAGGAAATGCCATTAGCGGTAAAATTTTAATAGATTCAGACAAAGGGAAGACGAGAAATAATGTGCAGTATATAATGATGCGGTATTTTGGTAGCCCAGATTTCAAACAGGCCACCTTTTTTCATAAAATTCTACCCACTGAGAGTTTTGAACAGATGAAGATACTCAGATACTACCGTTTTTATTCTGTGTCGATATGAAGAGGTATCTTTATTTAATACATAAGCTAACCCCGATCTTTTCCAAAATACTGACTCCTTAGGGATATCGGATCGATATTTGGTCTGTTGATTGATTGCATCCTTTTTAATCTCTCTGTATAATATATTTACGTTATCATTATCATTACTAGTTTGAACTGACTTGAGCTAGTTAAAGCTCTCACCAAACAGTTCGTCTTCTGTCGTATTTCGAGTACGAGGACAATGTTCGACGTTGTAACTGCGTGTGTAGTCTGCTCCATCGTATTATCGATCATTATGGTGTTTAAATATATCATCATTGTGCGTTTAGCGATAACAAGAACAGGAAAAAGAAGAAGAAAAACCAGTCAGTGGCGTCTCAGTTCAATCTATTTTTATACTGTAGTAACTGTAGTATTATTTTTTCCAATTTCTTAATTTGTAAACTATCAGGACTAACATAAGGTCTCACCTTTTTTACCTTTGGGAACTCAAAGTATTCAGACCACAGTTATGTCATTTGCTTGATGACATAAATGACAACTGAGAAGGTCTTTGAATAATTCAACAAAATGTTGGATTTCCGTATATATAATAGTAAAGTGTAATGTTTAAATTGATGACACAATCAGCGATTAATTCAAATGACTGCAATTACGGTTCGAGGTACAGAAGTCTAGTTTCTTCCCTTTGTTTCCAATCTACCACACAATCATTATTAGAACAAGAGATAGAAGCGAACAATATTGCTGTTTTCAATTAAACCTCAGGCTTTACTGTAATTCACATAGATAGATAGATATTTACGAATTTCACCACGGATGATATCCGCTAGGGAACCAATGAAAACCAAGAAGTACTGGACAGCTGTTTCATCCTAGTTAATTTTGGGAATCACCGGCAGTGCGCATCCACCACAGTGGGGTTCGAACCTAGGACCTTCCGGTTGCAAGGCAAGCTGGCTAGTATACCATTCAGCCACTGGGACTCGATTCAGTGGCCGACACATGAATTCTAACTTCTACCAATTCGTGATGCATTTAGTGCGACCACCAACCAATGTCATCGTTGGGACATCCATCCTCATACCTGACTGGATGAACCTCACTGGTCACGACTTCTTACTACGAGATCCAGGAAACGCCGTCCTGTAGAAAGTCACTAGCGAGCATCAGATTAATTTTCTATTGTTGGTTTGTAAGGATTAAATCCGTGGTCAAACTCGTAAAAACAAATTTAATCCTTACAGACCTACTCTTGAAAATAAATTTATATGTAAGCGTTTTAACCAATGACGGTGAGTTTGTGGACTAAATAATAATAATAATGTGGTAAATGTTTTGAACGTCATTAATAACGATGATTATAATGATAACGAAATGATGATAATCAGGTTTATGCAGGTGGCGATTAAAATAATGAAGGTAGTAAGTAATATTTGTATATGCAGACAATTCAATAAATAAATAAATTAGATCAAATCTTAGAAGTTACGTAATACTAAAGGGGAAGTGGACAGATGATCTGAGTTCAAATAAATGTCATAAAAGTACGAAGGAAACGGAAAGTAAGAAAGAGTGGGAGGGTTTTGATTAGAATTTACCTTAGGCCAAGGGAGAGACAAAGGTAGAACAACATTCTTTTTTTTTTGTATGCGAAGACTAGGATTGTTCTCTCGAATTCCCATATCTGCGGCTAGGTGTGAAAGGTGGGTTCGAATTCCGTTCGAAAGGTTCGATGGAATGCGATGGATAACTTTGAAGGCACTATTTTTGTCCACTTGGTGACCACTATCAATCAAATGAGCCAAAATAGAACTTCTTATACATTTTATTTGTCATTTTCCGAACCATGAAGGAAGACTCTCATTAATGCGTTTGTTAAGCTGTCTAGTTGTTCGCCCTATCTCTCTCTCTCTCTCCACAGGAGCAGCTAAATTTAGAGATACACATAGAAGTGGCACACCTAGGTAGCTTGTCTTTCCCTTGAGCAATCACAATTAGTTGGGTGGAAAATAACAAAGGGTGGTGGCAAAATAAGTCAGTTTCCATTGCTCTAGATAATCTCAGATGTAAGATTTCACTAGCCACGTCCCCATCAAATTGCAATTTTAGGAACAGTTGTTTCTTTTTAACTGTTGTCAGTTTCTCTTTATTGTACCTGGTATTCATGTGTCTCCTAACAAATCTACTAGGATAACCCATTTGGACCAGTGTATTTTGGATGTATCCTAATTCATTTTCTAGGGAGTCATTGGTACAGAACCGTCTTGCTCTATTCGTGAGGCATCTGACCAAATTGATTTTATATCGGATTGGTGCAAAACTGTGGAAATGTGTACATTGTCCTACAGATGTAGGTTTTCTATAGATATCTCTCTTGAGTGAACCATCCTCTCTTCTGCTCAATTGGACGTCAATGAAATGTAGTCCACCATCATGTTCTTCTTCACAAGTGAAGATGAGCGATGGATGTGCATCATTAAACTTTTTTAACATTTCATTCTTGTCAGTTTTCACATCAAGAATAATGAACGTATCATCAACATAATGAAAATAAGAATCAGTTTTCTATATTACTTGTCTCAATGGACCATTTTCAATCTTGGCTAGAAAGAAATCTGAGAAAGTTGGACCCAATGGAGAACCCATAGCAGTACCGTCGATTTCTCTGTAATAAAAGTTGTACATTCATAGTACATCTTAAAAGCAACCCTTTCAGAATAATAACTGGTATTCCGATGTCGAACTGTTTTTCTAGTATCTGTTAGCATATGAATCCGTTAAAGAACAATCATTATTGTTTGCATGTCAGTCAAAATGACTAACGTAAAATCACAAAAAACACATTCTACATTCATTCTTTACGATTAGGTATTAAAGTAAACTTAATTATTGATTTAGTTTGACTATAAATCATTTCCAGTCGAATGGTTGCAAACAGTTTTAAGCCATATGGATGGTATTGTTGAAGATATCTGACACGATATATTTAGATGGGTAAAGTTAAGATGATAATATCTATATATATCCTCAGTCTCCAAGCTGTTAGTTGTGATTTATCTACCGATATGAGGTGGAGTAGCGCGTCCGTAGTTTAGTGGTAAAATAGACGTTAGCCACTCATGTGATACCTAGCGGATGCACCGCTAAAAACGTTGCTTAGACGACAGTTAGACCAGTGAAGAAGGAAGGTTGGGTGGGCGTGAGGCCGACAACCTTATCCCTTAAAAAATTTGCACTACTGCTACGGAATCTTTGAAGCTAAAGCTTGAAACTTTATGTTCCACTAAGGACAAAAGAATAAACAAAGAAAGCAAGTAAATAAACAAAATTCAAGTTAGTAGAAATCAAAAGATTGTTACCGCGATAGCATTGAGAGGTTGAATAATTTTCTTTTGTATGCATAGCTCCGGTTTCTCTACCTTTAGAACTCTTGCATAACTCAATAATTTTCCTTCGTTTCTTCGTGCGTGGTGATTACAACTCACTGATTAAATTATTAATCTTATTACATAATTCGAATGCACTCACTCAACTCCTATCGTTTTTTCCAATTCCTTTAAGTTCCCAGTGGAGCATGGGGTGCCTTCAAGCTAAAGGCCTAAAGTTTCAGTAGCAGTCGTATTAATTTTTTAGGGGATTACGTTGCTAGCTTCATGCCCAACCTTCCCTCTTTACCAGTCTTATTACTGGCTTAGTGAGGTAAAGGAGTGCGTCTGCTACCGGGGACTGAACGCCCTGGACCACCTGCGTGGTCGGCGAGCATTCTACCACCACCGAGATTATAAATGTGACTGTACAGCTGAAGAGGGAAGTGAATTCGCGGAAAAGATCATCTTCGCTGAACTGCCTTTTATTTTCATTAATGTCTGAATGTAGATTACTCATAAAACTGGTCAATTGACTGAGGTTACAACTCATGGGACACTAAATCCTGTCCAAGTTAGTGAACGTTCAACACATTCGCCTCGTAACCTGAACGTGATGATTTCGATCCACGCCGGAGTCATGAGCTCGTACTGCCGGGGATTTCGTGACGTGTGTGAGAAAGATATCTAATTCCCCATGGCTTTCAAGGGTTCTATAACTTGAAGCTAATCAAATCCCTGTTGTATAGGCAGTCAGTAACTATTAGTAATATTTGTTTACTCATACTGATCCAGTAATTGATAAAATCTCTTTTTTCTCTCTCTCTGTTTTTCTACTGTTAGATCTTATTGATGATGATCCATCGATAGTCGACTGTACCATCATTTTAGAATTTGCATTGATCAGTCAAAATCGTACATTCAAGCCAATTCTGATTAATCTACCAGTGAAAATTCAAGATATCAATGATAATATCCCACGTTTTGATCAGTATACAAGTGGACTGCAGCTTGAAGTCAGTGAAGATATTTCATCAACAATCAGTAAATACTACACAATTCCATCATTAGTGTATTTGCCTACGCTACTTTCATCATTGTCCCACTCATCATCGGCATCGGAGCCAACAGGATACTGGAAAGGCAATTCATTTCATGCTAATGAAGGCACTTTGTTACATCAGAATAAGAAGCGTGAATTAGCTGTCCTTCCTCTGGCTAAAGATGTTGACTTTGGCGTGAATGGTACTGTCGCCTACAAGTTAGAGGTGAGTGATACATTCTGCTGTTATTAATTACTATTACACTCTCAGATTACATAACATAACAATTCTTTATCTGGTAATATTAATATTAAGTATTATTTTGCATGGATCTGATGGGTTACACGTTTGTTCACCAGTTAAAAAACTGTTGGAAAGCCTAGGAGCAATCGACAGCTGTTTCGTTCTAGTTTCAGACTCACCATCAGTACACACCCACCACTGAGATACTGAGACCCGACTCAAAGACCAGCCCATGAATTCTAACTTCTACTTATAGGTATTTTTACCGCAATTACTAGCCATTGTATAAGCGAGTATTTGTTATCACTTGTGACTTCGTGGACCCCAATGGTCACGAATCTTCACTAGGACTCCAGACAACTTTTCGTCCTGTAGGCCGTCACTAGCGAGAACCAAATTAATTTTCAAGATCTAGTCTATAGGGGTTTGATTTATTTGAAGTTTGATCACTGATCAACGTCGTTTAGAGAACAAGCTTTTGATAATAAATCTGATATTAATAATAATAATAATCAATATGCTTTATTCCAAAAACAGTACTTATTATACAGAATGGAATTCTCAGCATTTGTCACAATACCTTGCATCTGATTTACTCAAAATATAAATAAAATTAACCGGAGGAATTCGTCCACATTTACGATATAAAGTCAAAAATATTCGAAGTACTGAGAATATTAAATGTAATACTGATAATAATAACAGTGAGTTTATTTCAAACAGTATTGTCGATTCACTTTGAAAATTTTAGCATTTTGTAGATTATTGAATCTGATGTTCTGTTGATATGGCATGGTGTGGGGAAATACAATTATTATTGATTATTGTTCCCTTGGGTTCCTAGTGGAACATAGGGCTTCAACTACACATCTCCACCTGCTTCTGTCTCCTGCTGTACTTTTCACTTGCATCCATGTTAATCCATATTGTTTCAATTCCTCTTCACACGATCTCCTCCATGTCACCCTTGCACCTACGAACCACTCGCCGCTTCCCTTTCCCGTTCCACTCGAGCGTTAGCCTGACACGCGATATCACCCAACGGCCTCCTCAGCGAGTGTCCAATCCATCTCCACTTTCTCCTGCATATTTGTTGGGCGATTGGTTCTTCTTTTGTTTGTTCCCATATTCGGTTTCTTGTTGGTGATTCTTTCCGGCGGCCATCTGATCTTCAGTATAGAACGAAGACAGTTGTTGATAAAGGTGTGCAACAGGCTGTTGGAAATATTCTTTGTGACACACTGGCCAAGTTTCTGATCCGTATAGAAGAACTGACTGACTTGACGTTTGTATTGAAAACCCGAATTTTGTTGTTGGTGGTGAGTGACGAAGATTTCCAGATTGGTTTCAGGTTGATGAAAGTGTTTCTCGCCTTACCGATTCTCGATTTGACATCCTCGTTCGTTCCTCCTGTAGTTGAGACAATGCTCCGTAGATAAGTGAAGTGAATGAAGTAACCTCTTTCAAATGGGGAGAAATACAAAATTAACAGTTATAATACAGCTTAAATGATGTTCATAATAATGCAAAATTAACCAATAAAAACAAAAATTGAGAGCATTATAAATATGAGAAGTGCAATAACAATAAAGGTTGATGTTGTGTGGGTGGAGGAAAAGGTTTATTTAGTAGTGCAAAGAAGTTTAGTTAGTTAGTTCATGCCTAACACTATTTTCATCACATAAAGTACGTGCCGTGAAATATGGTACAGGGAAATGATTGGGTACAGAAAGAAGCTGTCTGAAGTTCAGCTGAGAATTCGTTACCATTGGAGTCTATTCGACCGTGAACTAGGAAAAATAATTCCCAGTGACACTGACTAATGGCCGCGCTAAAATCCCTTCTTGGTAGAAGTTAGAATTCATGGTCTGGTCATTCAGTAGATTTCCAGTGGTTGAACGGTCTACGAGCTCGCCATGTAACTGGAAGGTCCTGGTGAGTGTGTACTGATGATGAGTCCCAAACCAGAACGAAACAACTGTCAAGTACTCCTAGACTTTCCAATAATTCTCTAACTAACATCAGTCCATGTTCAGTCGTAAAATAAACCAATACCCTGGAAACTAATTCTTAAAACCAGAAACTTGACACTTGTAAATATACTGAAAGCGGTCAACAATGCTACATTTAAAGCAATCAGTACCAGGTGGGTGTAAGTATCAATCGGAACACGTACCCTGTGATGTAGATATATCCAGTAAGTGAATTTTCAAGCAGAACAGAAAGTGCCACTTTGATTCTACTGTAATAATACAAGTACATACATCTGCCTCAAATAATAATCTGTTTACCAGTTTAATAACTAACTATACATACTTTATATTAAATATATAAATTCAATGACGTAGAACGCAGTGTGAATTGTATTCAGAGTGTTGACAAGTGAATTCAGTGTATGCATTGTATACGCCTAACTGACAACAAATCATTGAGTAGTGAAAACAAGATAAAAATCATTGAAATACAAAATCAACGACTACAACAACAACAACAATAAAGACTTGTTTATCAGAAGATTACATAAAGAATTTCTATTCTCTATTTACTTTCTAAACATTTCAACAATAAAGTAGGCTGACAGTTAGAATAAATTACAGGCGCTACTTACCTATTCAGTGTTTTACAGCCAAGATTAGAAAATGATGAAATTACAATGGAGAAAAAAACAGACACCATTTTGACAATAATACATTTTAAGACCAAAAGATATAATAATGACTGAACACAAACTCGAAGACATGCAGAAGAAAACCAACAAACTGGATGAAGAAGAAGGCAGAGAAGACAAGACTCCACGTGAACATAGAGAAGATGGAGGTGATGAAGATAGCCAACCAACTGACAGCAACAACAACAACCAGCACCAATCATCGTCAACAGGAGAGATTTGAAAGAGGTTAATTCCTCCATTTATCTCTCTAGAAAACACGTTTACAACCCCAGGCAGTTGGAACGGATGAATATGTCAAAGCCAGCCAGCCAGCCAGCCAGCCAGAATCGGAAAGGCAATATACGCCTTCTTCAACCTGATGAAACCAGTTTGGTAATCTTCTCCTTTCACTCAGTTAGCCAGCATAAAGAACAAGATTCGAATTATGTTCAACACAAATGTGAAGTCAGTCAATCAGTCAGTTCTTCACTACCGGTCATAAACTTGCACTGCGTGGCACGAAACGTATTTCCAACAGGCCAGTGCAGACTTGTGCGTTGACGTTTTTGTAGCAATATGGTTAAGTTTTAGGGGTGGAGTTGCTAGCACCTTGCCCCGACCCTCCCTCTTTATCCGGGCTTGGAACCGGCTAGAAAACTAGTGACCTAGTAATCAACCTGAAACCAATCTGGAAATCTTCGTCACCCAACTCAGCATCAACAACAAAATTCGGATTTTGAATTCAAACGCCAAGTCAGTTCTTCTATACGGATGGATCAGAAACTTGGCGGGTCACAAAGAATATTTCCAACAGCCTGTTGCAGACTTTTATCAACAGCTGTCTTCGCTGCCTCTATACTGAAGATCAGATGGCCGCCGGAAAGAATCACCAACAAGAAACTATAGAGGGAAACAAAACAAGAACCAATCGCCCAACAAATATGCAGGAGAAAGTGGAGATGGATTGGACACTCGCTGAGGAGGCCGCTGGGTGACATCACGCATCAGGCCCTCGAGTGGAACCCCAAAAAGAAGTGGCGAGTGGGGCTTTCAAGGGTGACATGGAGGAGATCGTGTGAAGAGGAGTTGAAACAGTATGGACTAACATGGATGCAGGTGGAAAGTACAGCAGAAGACAGAAGCAAGTGGAGACGTGCAGCTGAAGCCCTATATTCCACTAGGAACCCAAGGGAACAATAATGATATAATACAGTGCAGACTACTATCAGCAGCCGCCCCCTTCACCGGCTGGCCAGCCAGAGACAATTAGCAACGAGAAACTCTGGTTGGGAACAAACCAACTAGTGAGAGCCGATCTCTCAACAAATATGCAGGAGGAAATGGAAATGGATGGATGGGCATACGTTGAGGAGGCCTTCGAATGACATCACCCTAAAATCAGGCCATCGCTTGACTGGAATCCCAATAGGAAGCGATGACTGGGTCATTGGTGTGAGGGTGACATGGAGGAAACCATTTTGTGACGAGGAGTATTACAGGTACTGCTTACCTATTCAGTGTCTCACAGCCATGATTAGAAAATGATGAAATCACGATGAAAACAGACAGATACCATCTTATTAGTAATAGTCATAATAGTAATAATAATGGCTTTATTATGAAGTGTTTATATAATGTTTAGAATTTTCAGAGGAAGTTACTCCATAAGAGTTTCTCACTGCCCAGGATCTTCAAGTAAAATATCAACTGACAGAAGACTGTGTGACACAATGCTATCTGACCTGAAGCGAAAACCAATCGCATATGTGATATTTCTTCTTTGCCTCCTTCAAGAAATGCACAACAGGCGGAAACTAACAGACTGGCTGAAGAACAAGCTAGAGAAGACAGGACTCCAGGTGAAGAACATAGATAAGACGGAGGTGATGAAGATAACTAATCAACCAACAGCAACAGTGACAACACCAACAACGAGCACCAATCACCATCAACGAGAGAGATTTGACAGAAGTTAATTCCCTCACTTATCTGACTACGGAGCATCATTTCAACCAGAGGCAGTCGGACAACACGGATGAAGATGTAAAATCCAGTTAGCCAGCCAGCCAGCTGGAATCGGAAAGGCAAGATACGCCTTCTTCGACCTGATGAAACCAGTTTGGAAATCTTCTATTCAACACAAATGTGAAGTCTGTCAGTCAGTCACTTTTTCTGTGTACGGGTCAGATACTTGCACTGCACGTATATCACGAAAAGCATTTCCAACAGGCCAGTGCAGACTATTATCAGCAGTTGACCCCTTCGCTGGCTGGCTCTTTACTGAAGATCAAATGGCAGGCTAGCCAGTCAGAGACAATCAGCAACAAGAAACTCTGGGTGGGAACAAACCAACAGATGA